TGACAGACTCTGGTCAACATTCCCAGCACAAGGGTGAAGGGGGTGATAACGACAGTGTGGAGTGTGAAGGCTTTTTTTGAATGCCGCTTGAAGGAGCACATCTCACACTACATTAAAAATAAGCACGGTAAAAATTGTGACAGGAAAGGCATGATAGGAGGATATGGGAAATGTGAATAGCCCAGGGAAAAAGGGGAGATACAACAACTGTTTAGCACACGTTTGGTCAAAAGATGGGCTTCACTTGTCTCTTTGACGAGTTGTAATATGGTGCTACGAATGGCGAGACTTACTGACGATGCTGGCGAAACGTCTGGGAATGTACCACGTCCACGGTCCGACTTTGGAAATGATTATTTATACAATGGACTTCGGACTAAGTGCGTTTCTCTAAGTCTTCCTACCAACATGACCAAGTTGCGAAAACAAAGTCAAACAACTTCTATACAACGAAAGGGGACTGCGACCACACAAAAGGCCACACCATCCTGGTCTTCATACCTTCGATTTACAATTTATGGCTAAAATAATATATGTCTTGTATGGGGAAGCTGTAAATTATCTTTGTTTTTTTCATTCCTATAATTTATCAACACTCTAAGCGTTAGACATATACCTTTTTGTCATATCACTATTTCCTGTGTACTATTTGGTCTTAAATTTCGTTTATGCATTATTGTCTAATCCTCACTTTACTACGTCTCAAATGCAACTTTTACCCTTACCTTGCTACATACGATCGGTGTTCTATCATTACTGGCATTGTCCACTTTCCCTTTTATCCCAACTCTTATATTTGCCTTCGTTTTTATCTCTACTTAGTACGGCAGTGACGCAATGGGTCAGTCTAGCGATAGTGGCCATCTCGACTGTACTGGGGCCAATTCCCAGGAGGATTTTTGCAGCTTCGTTATTACTGGTCGTCGTGAGTCGGTAGATTCTGCTCGCCTTCTCTTGTCATTCCACATTGACTACATAAAAAAACTGGAGGACCTCGAGGTGGGCTCTCTTTGTTGCAATTTATTACATTGTACTGAATAGTACAGTGAATATTTAAAGTTGTACTATCTTACTATCCTAGTTTAAGTCTTTCTTCATGGCTCTTGAAAACAGACATGTTTATTCATTTAACATAGTTCAACTTTTTTTTTCTTGTGTGAACATCCTGTTTGGAAGACATTCCTAAAAGTATGCAATTAGAATCCGTCTTTGTTTTGATGCTATCATGTGACTTATTGCTATAAAGATATACCAGTTAAGAGGATTTCTTGCGGCTAGTCTGCCTTAGATTATTTGGAGGGGATGCTTGATTTTTACGCATTATTTATATCATGCCTTTCGCATAACATGTTCAGAGTATA